AACGCGGTGGCGGGAGGGCGCACTTGATTCGGTTGCCAGTGAGTTTATCAGAAGAATACCCGGCTACAGTACACGTCAGTCGAGCGCTGTCGCTCTGCGGCACTTGTTTACGTTATTTTATAGCATTTTTCACGACAATTTTGGTGGTGAATGTTGCTGACAATTTCGTTGATGTTCGTTTTATCCCGTTTGTTCTGTCTGATTGCATTGCTTCTAACCTGTGGGAGGAAATTAAATAAATAAAAAAAGTATAGATATAAGTGATTGGAAACTACGATGATTTCGTATAATGTTATAGGAAAATGTAAGTGAAAAATGGATTGGAAAATTTATTGTAATGATAGTAATAATAATAATAATAATAATTATAATAACACTAGTACAGTTAGTAAAAAATCAACTCTTTACAATGTGATGGGAAATTACAGTTAGAAGGTACAATGTCTTTTTGATAACATCGTTGAGAAACGTCAGCGGGTTAGTGCTACTGCAATGCGATGTAGTTGTGCGTGAAACGTTCTCCCATTCGTTCTGCTATTAATAAGCCAAATCGGAAAGTCCCGGTTGCCGTATTGAGATCAGATAAGAGGGAGTGTAAACAGCCCTTTTATAACGTGGGTAGGATAGGACTATTCTAGGTTTTTGATCTATAATTCTCTTCACTAACATCGTACTTCAATTCACAGATGCGTTTCTGTTTACATAAACATTTACAAATATGATTGTGGTCGTTTGGGATATTTTGCAATGTTTGTTTTAATGCAAAAACTAGAAACGCACGAGTGTTTACATTAATCATGTACTTTCCTAAGCGCGCCTCGGCCATTTTATACCCCCTTTTTCTGTGACCTACAACTAGACTTTCCGATCTCACTTATAGGTAGTGGCCGTGCTGGCTGTGTCCTACTTGACCGCCGTGCTGGCTATTTTTGGATCGGTGGCGGCGGGGCACCACGCCCGAGTCCAGACGCATCTCCACACCAGCCGACTCATCGACTATCTCTCCGACTCCCCGGCTTCTCACCTCGACCCCCTCGGTGCGGCCAACGTCTCCTACCCAGCTCCGCGCCAAGAAACCATCGACGCTCTCCGGACGAACGAATCCCGGTGGGCCGCCGACGACGACCAGAAGGAGATCCAACAATCGAGCTTCACGCTCGACGCGTCCCTGGCGGCTCGGCTCTCCGGCGACGCGGCCGGTGGCACCCCCTCGTGGTCGCGTCTCGACGTCGAAGTCGCCGCCAACGCGTCCGCGCATCGTCGTCGGCGGACGCGGCAGCGGACGCTGTGCGAGCAGCTGGTGACGACCGACGGACTCGCGACGATGCTGCGATGTCACCTTGGCGCGCGGCGAGCCGGAATCTCGCTCGACCACCCGTCGCACGTGCTGCGGCACATCATGGTCGGGGTGCCGTAGCGCGGCGGCCGCGTCGCACGTTCGCTTGTCTTCCTACGCAGATCTGAGGCGCAGCGCCATCTAGGTGTATTTAGGGTATTTTGGTGTCATCTTCATGGTATCACAGGTCGTCGATAGTTGGTGTCATCTTCATGGTATCACAGGTCGTCGATAGTTGGTGTCATCTTCATGGTATCACAGGTCGTCGATAGTTTGGTGTCATCTCATGGTACTCACAGTCATCGATAGTTGTGTCATTTCATGGTATCACAGGTCATCGATAGTTTGGGTCATCTTCATGGTATCCGGCGTCGAATCAGTCTGGTGTCATCTCATGGTACAGGACGATCTTATCATATATATATATAGATATAAAAATACTAATTGATAGACTCTGATGGTAATCACAGGTCCCATGATGGTTGGTGTGATGAATATCACAGGTATTACAACTGCACTATGCACGCAATGCTGCACCGGAAGATGGCACTTCGTTACGCTTTTCAGAAATTCTACGAAGCCATAATTTAGATAAGAGTTGGCACATAGATTGTCAGAAAGATAATTGGAGTATTTTTCACGTGCTTATATTATTTTTTGACAGAAAATCGTGCAAATCCCAACTGCTCGCATCCAGCAAACTCGTAATAGTCATAAAATGGAGTTGTCCGGTTAATTCGTTGAAATATTTATGATACAAATAAAATGCATAAATATAAATAGGTTAAAACCTATTATAGCGGTATAACTTATATAAACTGTTCATGTAAATTGGTCCTGCACGGAGATATTAAAAAAAAATTCATACTCCCTATTTGCTAATTTTTGTATGTCCCTGTAAAATCAGCTAAGATTAGTAATAATGACTTTTAATTTCTTAAACCCTATATATAGATTTCCTATTTAGCTTAATACAAATGTTATCAACATAAATCACCCTCAAGATTTGAATGTTAAATTAGTGAGCGCCTTATTAGCCATTTGATATAAGCAATGTAAAGGAATGGTTGATTGTAACTATTGGTGGTTTCATAATATTCTTGAACGAGTATTAATATTCTTGTCGTGAAGCGCATCTTGATAGAGTTTTTATTTTAGCCTGATCAAAGAATCAAATCCTTTAGGGTGAGTACTCTGATTTGCTGTGACTGAAGGTTTTGATTACAATCCTCGTGAAAACATCCGTGGGTTTAAAACTGCAATTTGGCTGCCTGCAACTTCATAACATAAACGAATGCATAAAGAAATAACTATTTTGGCAACAGTTATTTTGTATGTAGTACTTTTTGTTCTTTTTCTTGATGTGTTATGGAAGCGGAATCGGTTGTGGACCGACGAAATCTCAGTTCATTGTAGACGTTCTTCTCTGTTTATCCGTAAATGTCTCCTTTCTGATACTTCAGTTTTACCTGAGGCTAGACCTTGACGTGATCATTCTGAGTCGGTCAGAAGATTACTCCTAGAGGGTAGCTTTGATTTTATTGATCGCAGATGTAAACTCGAATCGAAATCTCATCTTAAATTGAGAAAATCTTGCGAGCAGCGCATCTAAAAATCACACATTAAAATAAGAAAAATGATTTTGTGTAAAATAGACTTACCAAGTTACTTGATTTCTGGAAGTGATCATTCATTATTCATTCTAACGGTAGAGATTCCAAGAATCTCACTAGCAAAATATACACCCTATCAGGTGGCGATTTAGGCCGGTTTTGCACCGGTTTCCGAAACCGTCACAGGCTGGTACCTCAGAATTGACCCTCAAAATCCACGAAGATATAGGCCTTTTTTAATTCCCGGGGGGGGGGGGGACATGCCCGGACCCACTAGCTGATGACTAGACTAATGGTAACTGGTCACAGTCCAAACCCTCTGATCCGCCCTGCTATTACTGTGAGCAGTTATGCTAATAAATCTGTACACTCACAACCGACGAAGATAATTAAAGGTAATTTCAGTACACGTCTATGATTAGGTATCAACAGGTTATACAGAACATAAGTGTGCTGATAATTTCTTCTTGGATTAACTTGATATAACATGATAGCCATGACAGTCACGTGTAAATAAACATTCCCCGACACGAACACGTTTTGAATTTGGAAAATGCTCGTGTCTATAAATACTAAAATTCACCATATTAACAACGTTTGCACACGAGTTGAACACATATATCCAGTATAAACAAGAAAATATCACCACAGCACAATAATGGAGATTGTAGCATCCAATCACTGTCTATATTTAACATATATAATTATATATATAATCAGGAGATAATATATATATATAATATATATAATATAAGATAATAATAAGATAAAAATAAGATAATATCAGAGTAAGATAATATAGATCCTATATTATCTTAGCTCTGATAATATATATAATATTATCGATCAATGGATCAATCACGCCGTGGCAGTATTCTGATACTCAACGACTCTCTCGAGGCAACCACCCGACCTGACCGACAATTATTACTACGCAATAAAATATTACAGATAAATATTATGTGCACGTTGGAATCAATTTAAGCGATGCACACAAATACTTTCGATACAATTGCATAGAATATATACAACCCAATTCTTGTACATCATTTTTTGTGTTGTAATCATTTTTACAACACAATTGTGTCTTTGTATATATTATATCTGTGGGCAAATAACACACCCATCTTGTATAATGTTTGTGCAGTGGGGGATCAGTCCAAACTTGTCTTATCTGCTGGACACCAGGTAAACATACCCGGAGCCGATGATCATTCGGCTACTTCAAACTTGAAATTGGCTCCGCGTGAGGCTCAAAATAGCTCCGTCCCAATCTTTGGCCGAGAGGTATTTCCCCCACAGACTTGACAAAGAGTTACCGACGTGAAAAAAAAGTTATTGTTTCCCCTGGCTGGACCACCCCATAAACAATCATTAGGTAGACTAATATATATATGGACACCACAGATGATCATTCTTCATCATTGATATGAACGAACCACTACCAAGTAGATTCGTTTAATTTAATTTAGTTAACCACGCAACGTTCGCAAGAACCTTCCAAGAAACGATTCCACGTATTGCAAGAACCGCCATTCGAGTAATCTACCTATCAGCCATCCTCGCTTGCTATGGCATCTGAGATGCGCCAATCATAGCTGTAGATAACTTAAAAAATCAATAGCTAAAACAAAAACGGTAGAAAGTCGCTCACTGTAAATTCGGAAGCTAATCGTCACATCTTGAACATATTCTGTAACATATATAAACTATCTGCATATTTGTTACGACACGTATCACGCTCGTATTCATTTTCTATGCATATTACTGATGAAGTGATGAAAAAAACTGAGTGAGATATGCTTGATCATAACTTCTGGCCGTATTACCAGCATAAAGGTCTCTTGCTATTGCGTCCTTACGAAATGTCCACACCTGCACCAAGAGCATGGCTAGTGACCAGTATTTTGGCTCCACGGGGAATTATCATTTGAAATTGCATGGAATTCTACTGTGTATCCAAGAATTATATGACAACCCTGAACCAATTCTTGACCAACCACGTACATTACTGATTGAAGAAGAATGTGTCATGCAAATAAATTACCTGCGACAATTATAAAACGGGAACGATACAAATGTCTAATCTGTGAACTGTGTTGACAAAATACGGTTAGCACTGGACTATTATAATACATTTATTGTGTTTTGGCAGACCTATCATCATATCACCATAATAATCAGTCCAAGTGACATATAACACAGCTCTTAAAAGCTGCCAAGCTGGCAATAAAACTGAGCCTAAGAACGACAGAGAGACATGACGATATATCAGGATATGTGTAGGGCTCTTGGTTAAAATATAAATATTAGTATATATATATACTATATCTATATATAATAATATATAATATATATACTAATCACATCTAAAAAATATAGCAAAATCTAAAATATATGCCATGATGTTTTTAAGCTAATCGCCGTTAGCTATGTAACTGGAACTGACTGCAACAACTGATGCAACTGTTCAGATCTAAAAAAAACTCAGAGGTAGAGTAAATAGTATTGATTAAGCCAGCATTCTTAATTTCCGCAAAAACTATTTGATTATCACAACGCACCCCAACGTACAGAAATTTGTGCTTCCTGCACCAGTGAATGCCAATGAAAAATACGAGCATTCTTCCCACGTAAAAGATACCCCGAGTTTTTTGTAAATGCAAAAGTAAAATTCTTGTAAAATGACAAGTTTTAAAAATCCATTCAATTATACCACTATAGGGTGAAAATTAAATATGCTGCATTAAAATTTACAAATTTCTTACACTTTCAGAAGCATGAGACCCACAATATAAGTATATTATCCATAGAACTATCACTCTATAAAGCACTCTTAAAGCATTTTGACACTTAAGTTCAAACTTTAAACCTATACTTGCTGTTACTACTATTTCTGCTGCACTTACACTGACTATAATCCTGATTTGGACCAATAAAAGGCAAATGAAAGATCCTCTAGAATCGAATAAAAAAATATCCTTATAAGCTGCACATCTCTATACTCACTCGTCAAAGATCTAGGCAAATATATATGATGTGGACTAAACTCCTAACTGAAGTATTGTTAACAGTAGAGCATCCTTCTTGTTACCCTGGACACAGTCACGTCCACGCCAGTTGAAAGTGCTACAAGACGTCCGCATTGATCCTTTTGCTTAAGAAACCTTTGATCTGGACCTGTATGAGAAACATGTGAATCCATATTTAAAGTCTATATAGCACCAGTTAAAACACTTGTTGAAAGAACTTGCAAACGAAAACTGGTTTTGTTTTTAACGTCGCGTATCGATAAGAAAATGTATCATGACAAGATTTCCTGTCATCGATATTCAAAAACATTTAAAGACGAATCCTATTGCTAAACCATAGCAGTTGCACTAAATAATTCGAACCATATCTTAGTTGGCAACACTACAAGGCAAGCTGATACAATGAAATTACTAAATATCTATGTGATTTGGGATTTTGCCTTGTTTTTTTGCATTCCTCAACTGAACATTGTAACACACCACAGCCTCCGCTTTACGGGTCCATGTCTGCCAACGTCAAATAACTGCAAGTGTACAATGCGGCATGCTAGGACATATAGTAAATAACGAATTTTTACCGACAGCTACAACTATTAACGGTACACAACTGTTTACT